TGGCCCTCTACTTCGCCAAACACGATGCTCTCCTCCATCTCAACAAGGGTCTCCTCCAGCAATGATCCCTCCTGATCACATGTCCAAAGCAAGCAAGTTGGACAACGTTCTATTGTGATCCATAGGGTTTTCATTGGCTAATTTTCGGCAATAGGTCACCAGGCCTTCCCTCCTAGTCTGTCTTAGTCTGGAAGCTCTGCTGAAACCTGTCTGCCATGGGTGACCCTCCTTCGAAATACCAGTGGCATAGCTTCCAGCATCACAGCCACATGCAAGCTGGCATTGTAGGAACAAACAGACAGATGGGCAGTACTGACATAGGGCCCTGTTTCTGGGATGTAGAAAGGATGGATGTCCAAGAAATGTCTGATCAGGTGCTCCATGCTGTGTCCAAGCTTTGAGTCCCCTCCAGAGGAATTCTGCAGAGTGGCCCCATGCCTTCTCCTGAGGTCAGCCCTTGGGTTGGGGTTATTCTTGCGTCGGATTGGGGAGGCCATTCCATTCACCCAAGGGGAAAAGTCCAGCATGGCCCCTGCTCCCCAGCAAGGGCACAGAAGAGATTCCTGGTTGAGTTGTATTGGAGAAGCCGAAGAGTGCTGGGCCCACCTTAGGTGAGGAGAAACTGAAGAGTAAGAGCTGTGAATCTGCCAGGTTAGAACCTCTGGGCAGAGAGAGGGTGTTTCTGGAAGAGCCTGGAGGGGCTGGGGTGGGGGCCCCGCCCAGCTGACCTTACAGCAGTGATTGCCATGTGCCGGTGCCCTCCCCCCACAGATTTGAGCCCACACCTGTTGGGGAGGGGTCCCAGGCATCTGTATTTGTCACTAGCCACACAAGTGATTATAATACCAGCTAGACTGGGGAACCAGCCTGGATAGCGCTGAGCAAATTGGATCCTTCCTGTCCTTCCCAGACTTAGAACGCATTCATTTTATGGTGCGCTTGACTACTAACCTAAAGGTTGGCTGTTCAAACCCACCCAGTAGTGCCACAGTAGAAAGGCCTGGCAATCTGCTTCCATAAAGATTACAGCCAAGAGAACCCTATGGGACAGTTCTACTGTGTAACACATATGCTCACCATTGAGTTGGAATCAACTTGATGGCAATGGATTAGAAGACTGGATGGTGGTGATCTCAGACCCAGAGCCCTCCTACCCACATCTAAATTCTGGTCCCACGCTTTAGCAGCTGTGTGGCCTTGAACAGGTGCCTTGCCCTCTTCTGAAAAATGAGGGTAATTGTGATGGTTTTTGTGCCTTGATGTGAGAAGGGCTTGCCAGGCTGATTTTGTGGGAGATCCCTAGGTTTAAGTCTTGGGTCTGCCACTATCAGTTGGCCAAGGTTGTTTTTTCAGCATCTCTGAGCTGGGCTGTGGTGCCACTCTCTTAGGCTGGGTTCTCTAGAGAAGCAAAACCAGTAAAGCATATAAATATATATATAGAGAGAGATTTTTATCAAGGAAATAGCTCAGGCAATAGTAGAGGCTGGAACATCCTAAGTCCATGGGTCAGGATAGGTTCTGATTCATGTAGTCACGAGCTGACGAACCCAGTATCGGCAGGTCGGGCAGCAGGCCTCTGGCTCACAGGAGTGGAGGCCGACGAATCCCAAGATAGGCAGGCAAGATGGCAGGTAAATCAACAAAACCAAAAGTTGGTTCTTTGAAAGAATCAACAAAATCAACAAACCACTGGCCAGACTGACAAAAGAAAAACAGGAGAGGATACAAATAACCCAAATAAGAAATGAAATGGGGGACATTACAACAGACTCAACTGAAATAAAAAGGATTATAACAGAATATTATGAAAAACTATACTCCCAACAAATTTGAAAACCTAGAGGAAATGGATAAATG